ATGAGATCCAAGTATAGATTTTGCCGTAGATTTTAGGCATTATTCCTTCAGTGACATTGCTAAACACTTGTAGTTGACCCAACGTTGAGCCAACAATTTGCCTAACTTTAACTTTTCTCGGCAGGATGACTGGCCCTAATTTCCTATTCGCTTGTTCAGATGGGGCTCCAGCGACTGTTCGGAGTTGTTGTGGAGATTAGCAAGAGTGTTATGTGAAAAGGCCAAACTCAGGTGAGCAATTTTTTCTTTTAAAACTTCGTACCACCTCCTTTGTAATCATTCTTGAACTTGAAATGGGTAGGAATTATCTTCTTTATTTTTCAAAGATCAGGTTTTAGCAAGAACAAGGAGGACAGGGAGAGGCTGATGTATGAAGCTTTTGCTGTTGTGCAGAAGGCTCTCGATAAAGAACCCAAAGATGGGTGTTTTGGCGCTCATAAATGGTAAGTTTTAGTCATGCGCATTCCTTCCCGAATATGCTTTGGCAAATAAGATGTTTAACTAGCTGTTAAGGTACGCTATTCTTCTCGACTATATTGGAGAGATCGAGGGGACAAAGTCACGCCTCCAGAAGTCCTACGAGGTGAGTACTATCTGGCTAGGTTACAGATCGATTTCATTCAGTTCATGTTGTATAGGTAAAGGAACATCTGGAACGTGCACTTCAAATATGTTCTAGCGATGCAACGACATGGCACATCCTTGGTCTGTGGTCTTGATTCCTTCGGAAAATCCTCTACCTTCATTAGATCATGTTATAAACAATGCTATTTTTAGATGCTATCATTTTCAGTATGAGTTGAGTAGGCTTTTTGCACCCTAAAATTAGATTGCTAGTAATTTTGTGCTCCCGGTTCGTCTCATGAATATTGCTGCAACGGGATTTTTCTCTTGCTCCAATAGCTCTATCAGAACTTCAAAGTTTGTTACAAGGCTGGGTACGAATTAGCCATGTTTCTTTACGGTTTTAGGCATTTGGCACTTGTCATTCGCAGACATGGGCTATGCGACACGTCTTGCAGCAAACGCTTTCTTTGCGACGCCACCTTCATCAACTTACGAGCAGGCGTTGCAACACTTTCTCAAAGCAGAAGAGATATCCGTGGGTTTTTTTCCTCTGGTTCTTTTAATGATGCACCTTATGCTCGGTAAACTTGTTTTATGCCCTTGCACTGTTGCTCGAAAGGGCACACAGAAGTAAAGGTCAGCCACATCTCAGAATCTCTTTAACCCATTGGCAACAGCGCCGTCCTCACATTAACTTTACTTCTCTTATAACTGTAGTTGGAAATGAATGATTCCTGGACCGCGATGCCTCAAGATTCTCAAAAAGGCTGTGAGCTCAGCTGATACTTGAAAACATGAAAAAAATTACAAGAGCACTTGTTAAATACTATAGGAGCACGATATGGTCGTCAATGGATTAACACGTTGACGACGAGAGCGTTTTACGTTTGCGCGCCCACGGGACAAGACCTTTTAAAAGCGCTGATTTATCGTCGGTCACCATTGACAGACATCGTCCCATGGAACAGACACCATATTTAGTCTACTGTATTCATAAGAAATAAGCTATTACTTGTGCGAAACAAGTAAAAACTCCTGGAAACAAAAGAAAAACTTGTATTCCGTTAAGATTCGGGTGAATATTCCAAAATCATGGGGATTGGTAGATCATTTCGGTGTGTGAAGCTTTGAATAGCGAACATTCATAGCCAATAGCTATTCATAGCTAACAGTTATTCAATAGCTGAATAGCTCTACTTAAATGTTTGGCGGGAACAAGATTAGAGGTAAGGGGCCAGTTGTTGGAAGGAGTTAAAGTTTTAACTGTTATCTGATGTGATGTATGACTGATGTAGTACTGTCGGTCACCACTCCGACATCGTCCTACGAGACAGACTGGCTGTCGGTCAACACTGACCGATATTGTCGTCAACGTGTCAAAAACTGTCTTCATCTGCCTAGTAATCGTGTGATCGTGTTCTTTTTGCTCTCTCTTCACCACTTCCTCTTCGTCAAGGAATGTACAACTGGTTGCAAGTGATTATCCTTGACTGAAAAACCCTTAAAGATTCTCTTTCAACACCCTTTGTATAGCGCCCACTCGAAAGAAAAAACAAAACTTTGTCAAGATTGAGGAATAGCTGATATCGGAAACCAGTCAGATCGCCCGGCCATGCAGGACGCTTCCCATTTTCGTGTGGAAAAGCCCGTCGCCCACGTCCTCTACGAATTAGGACGTTCTGGTACAGTAGAACAGAAGGTAATATATATTTTCGGCTGAACACACGTACACACCCCGACACACTTCTTGGGCGCCCCACCTTTCGTGAACGGAATGCTGCTCAACTCATGGATTTCAAGTAAACTAATTAATTCCCATTTTTTATCAACCTCACGTTCAAATTCACTGAGATTTCGCTCATTGTACGTACACCCCGCCCCTCCGCTCAATCTTGTCCTGCCTCCTAGCATAAGTCCCGTCTTGTCTCTTATATTCCTACGAAATTTGAGCGCTTTAGGCCCAAATTGACATTTTCCGCGCGTGCGCAAGCCCGCCTTCAGCGGTTGAGTCTGGTCACGCCACCTAGCATAAGGACCGAATCCTGTCACCTGTTCTCCTACCAATTTTGAGCGATCTAAGCCCAAATTTACATTTTTCGCGCAAGCTCGACTAGTCGGAGTCCTCTCAATCCACCATTATATGTGTCCCACCCGGGTGTGTGTACATTCGTGCAATTCGAACCGCGCGCGGCAGACTGCGCGGCGGAAATCGCTGCGATTCGAACGACTTTGGCGCCTATTGTTGGGGCACAAACTTGAAGTAGAATAGTTGAGTAGAGTAAGCTGACACTACTAATCTACTCCACTTGAAATTTGGGACCCAATAATAGGCACTAAAGTCGTCAAAATCGTTATGGATTTCGCCGCGTAATTTGCCGCGCGCAGTCCGAATCGCACGAATGTACCGTCCCCCGTCCCACCATGTCTCCTGTTCTCCTACCAAATTTGAACGCTCTAGGTTCAGAGGGACAGGAGTTGTGAATTTCCGATCGGGCAAACATACACACTTATACACATGCGAATACACCGAAAGGCACACCTAGCGCATTATATACATAGGATACTACCCAGTTATGTCCTTTTTAGTAGACGAACTCATCACTTGAACCTTCTCAGTAAGGTTTCATAGAATGCTTGATGAAATACAGTCATACGAGCAGACAGAACTCCGCGAAGAACCCAACGTTATGGCCCTATCGCGCGCAGTTCTCGGTTCCCGGTGCTCGACTAAGCTTTGCCTACTGAACCGTGTACTCATTTTCCACTTTAATCGATCCCTGTGTTTTCCACACCAACATCACCATTTGTAGGCGACATTCTACATAGAAAGATGTCATCTTCGACATGAAACAAAGCTTCTTGCGATCTGAGTGGTAATTTCTCCTAATCACTGATGCTTGAAAAAAGACAACNACAACGGAACCAATTTTGCTTCTTCAATATTATCACCCGAATTATGCAGGGTTTCTGGTACCGATTGAGAGCATTCACCTCCCATCCAAGTTCAACTTCAGTTCAGTTGCAACAATACCACTGTTTATGAAATTACTCCTACTGAAATAAACTACTAACATTCAATGGTCGACGACGTTCTTCCTTACAAAGGATCTGTTTCACAGCGAAGATACCGTAGCTCAGTAGTAACGAGGATCCATGGAATACAGTAACATATAAAAGTGGCTGCGACGAAGAACAGTGGTCGATTTCAATTTCGAGTTCACGACGATCATCAAATTATAGGCCGCTTAGATGATCTTTCAGTGCTCTGAATAGGTGATAATCAGAAGGCGTTAGGTCCGGTGAGAAGGTCGGATGCGGCAGTACTTCTCATCCATAATTTTTTTACGCGCTACGTTGGCTACATGCGAGCGTGTGTTATCGTGAAGTAGGAAGAAATTGAGTCTTTTCGGGCGTAGCTCTCGCACAATAGTTGTCAACATTGAAAGCTGAAGAAGTGATTGCAAGTGAACATAACGGCCTTTAAGATGAGGACGTTTTGAATCTTTTATGTTTTAGTCTAACATCAGTGCGCTGCAGCGATATGTGGTGTACTCCACGATGTTCAAGACAAGGAATGCTGACATCGACTACTACAGATTTTTATTTTCAGCCTCGTTTCTATAGTACTAACACGTACTACATTGGAGAAGTATACGAGAAGATGGGCAACAAAGATGAAGCCATAAAGTACTACAAGGAGGCATTCAAGATGCCTGTTGTATCGGCTGACGACCGCTCAGTACATCAGAAGGCAAGAGCTGTTACGCATTGTTGATTTATCAACTTGGCTGGCATAAGCATCTTATTAAGCGCCAACAATGTCAGATGCCTTGTCACTGTCATTTGTAGATCACTCCAATAATGATGACTGGTGTTTTTGGTAAAGTTTACTTAAAATTCTACTGACACTGCTAGGCACTCCAATTCGTCCGGAGTTTTGGTGACTTTCGGATTTGTTCTGCAAGTGTGATCGGGATGAACGTTCAATGGGGGCATTCATTTAATAGAGCTCCTGGGTTATTTTAGTATGGTAGAGGATAAAACAGATTTTGTCATCTCTATACATCTTATTAAGCAGAATCTCTCACAATCAGTGCAGAACTGATCGGCTGGCCGCTGGTCGCATCTAAAAGTATGGGGACTTTCCGGCGCCTGTAATGTGCGCGGTTCACGGAAACAGAAATTCATTACGGGCCAGCTCTACAGTAACCCCTAGCTTAACCACCACGATTACATGACTACTTGCACTTCCTCTGCGTCCCTAACAGCGAAGGATTAGAGCGCAGAGAAAAATACGCAGAAAAAGAGCCGCGGTCGAAACAACTATAGGGACCGAGTCCAAATAGACAGTGGGGCCAACACCACCCATTCCGTTTCTATACCCAACACCCCTTTTCGGTGTGTTGTACTTGTAACGGGTGAGAATTTGCGTATTAAAATGGGGTTATGCCGTGTCGGTTTCTGTAAGAGCAGAGGGCACAACACCATCAACAAAACTTTAAGGAATAACAATCAGACGCTTAGAACTCAAAATAAAGTGTAACACATGTATTATTGAAGCAAGCAGTAGTGAAATGACTCCAATCGAGGACATCCACAACTTTTGGCAATGAGCTAAGAGGAGCACACGTGACACGCTCCGGAGAATCCCCTATATTTTTAGATGCGGTCGTGGCCGCTCGTAGGAGTCTCTATGTATGGGGGTGAAGTCATAAAACTTTTTGAACGCTTGAATTCCTTGGAAACATTAATTAATAGTAGTGTTAGGTTCGATAAAAATGTTTTGACCCTCATAAAGACTACTCCTACGAGCGAAAGGTGGTCCCAGTTAAGAGTAGGGCACGTTTTGAAAGAGTTCAGAAACCCCAACCACAAGAGATTTTCGTGAAGAAATTGAAAATTCCGTAAAAATTCCTATTACTAGTTACTCGGATTGTTTTTCCTCTTATTAGCTTTTATCAGTCTGTGCGGGTGGTTTAGTGGTTATTTAAAACTCCGCTAATAATGGATCAAAGAATGTAATAAATACTATGAAAGAGCTGACCTTACCGCAATGAAAACACAGAATGGCGGCATTTATTACTTTATCTAATTCAGTACAACCTACGTATCGCCCTTGGCGATGTTAGTGGAATAAGTGAGGGCCACGCTGTTTGGTGCTCCCGCTTAACCACGCGATATTCAGGGGAGTTGCTAGTAAGCCAATATTTTTCTCACTCTAGTCTGCTCTATTGGTTGGGTTGTTGTTAGAATTAGGGATTCTTAGAGGAAGCTGCTACCACTTCCCATCATCATCCATGACAATACTAGGGCAATGCTTATCCGCAGTGCAGTTGTATTTTGGTTGGCAACTTTGTTGTACTGTGTAATTGGCGCATGTGTAGTTTCATTGTTGTTATTACTGTACATGCTTTGCGTTTCACAGTTATTGAGGTTGGTTTGTTCCTGGGCAACAATGGCCACACCTTGCTTCACACTGCTGAAACCTTCCTTGAGCTCAACTCCGAAATATGGCTCATCTTTTATATACTCTAAATCTTGAATGTTTTGAAAACCACTTGGTGGGTAAACTCAAAGAAACATAGTGGTCGTCGACTCACCCTGTACGAAGAATTGGAGAAAAGAAGGCCGTCGTGATTTATTTTTCACTTGAAATCTTTGTGAGGGCATCGAGAAGTGTGCATATTCGGGAAGCATGGGGGCTATATTTTGGCATGATGTTTATATAATTTTCTGTTTTTTATTGTATTGAAGTTCACCATTAAACTGGAGGTGATTGTTGACCCTATTTCATCTTCTTTACTCCTAACAATGTAAGCGGTCGACGTTTGAAGAAAGCTATGACGGCCTGCTTCTAAAATGCTGCTACACCAAAACGCTTGGTTCGAAGCTCTTCTTACATACGTTTTTATTCCTCCTTCCCCAATACCCTCCACTGTTGCAGCTCTCCTTCGCGTCTAAATTTTTATAAATTTTCAGGCTCACGAAAAACTACGAAAAGCAGGAGTCAAAGACAGTCAGCTTCTAACACCGTAGAAAAGGTGTTATGGTGTTCAGCACTTATTTATTGCTCGACTTATCGTTAAGAGTCGTATTGATGGCTTAGTTAATACCTGAGCCCTCTCTCTCTGCTACTTACCAATTAAGGATGCTTGGTTGCAGTGGCCATTCAAGATGTGATGAATACCGTCGTAGAGATTTTCGAACGCTGACTCAAAATCTGTGTTCCAAATCTGCAAACTTATTCCGGGAACAAGGTTAGAAACTCGTGGAATGGCAATCCGGAAGAATTTTTCTTTGCTACGCTGACCGATTGAGGGTGCCCTTTTGCCCGGGACATTCAAGATAAGTTACGAATTTATGGCAATTTCATGTACTCTCGCCAGATATGGTTGATGGCTCATTTGAGAATAGTCCTCTTTGGAAGATTCGTCCTCTCTTTGAAGAGCTGGGAATGCAGTGGCATAAGTGAACTGACATTTTCGGTTCGGCTCAAAAGGAAAAGCACCTATAGCTTGGTTCCAAAGTTGCCCTCTACCCCTCCTTGTTAATCTTCAGTGAGAATTAGTAAGAATCGCCGCCGTACAATGAGGTTCCTATATTTATTTCTAGATAACTTCTTATTTCAACTTATCCGTAAATCTCTGACCGATCCGTTCGTTTTGCACAAAGTAGCCACAATCAGAAAAGACATCACTATTTGTCGAAAACAGGCTGATTTGGAAGCTCAGTGTTTCTAAAGTGGGAGGGTGTTTCGTATGTAAAAAGCTCAGTGTTTCTAAAGTGGGAGGGTGTTTCGTATTAGATAAGCAGTTGAGATGTAAAAAACGTTTTGCAAGCGTTAAGGACTTCGTTCTTGAAAAAGCAAATGAGCACATGTATCAAAATTCGAACCTTCATGTCATGCCCATGAGTACGCCACTTACCAATCGCGCCACCGTTGCAGAGCTCACTGTGCTGAGCGATTCGGTTACATGTTAAACGCAGTGGTATAACAGAGGGGTCGACATCCTTCCCAGAATCGTTTCGCAGATTGAGAATACAAGTTTGGAATCAGAGTTCGAAAACACCTACTGCAGTATACATGTCACTCTGAATAGCCACATCCTTTGTTTATCCAGTCGTTGTCACGTGATTACCCTTTTTTCCCTTTCAGCGCTCTAATATTTTCTGTTTCGATCTTTTCTTGAGCACGTACTAGAGTAGTTGCAAGAGGTACAGTAGATTTGGAGAAGCATTTCTTCCTGTTTTTATTCATGAAAGCAGCTGTTCGCATTGTTGAAAGTATGTCGAAATACATAATACTAGGAATTTTCGTTCTGTTCACTACGACTTTTTCTTCCAATTCCCCTACTCTAATGAACTGTAATGCTGAATAGGTTCGAAGTCCCTCTCTCGACTTGTGATGTTTGATGATTTTCCATTAGTGGAGCTATTTCTACCTACCTCTTTATTTTTACCCTATGTAACTTCCACTTGTGGACTCCTTGATGAAAAAAGGGAAGAACTTTTATAAGCGTTTTGATTATCAATGTTGTAATACCACCGTCATCTTCAAGTTGTCATTAATTTTAAAAAGTTAGATGGTTACACATTTAGTTTGGGGTGTCTCTTGCCCGCATGTAGTTTTATCAGTAATATTATGTTGAATCTGGTAAGGTAATCCTAGTTCTCTGGTGTTCGGAATGGCAAGTGGTATTCAGTATGTGCCGATGCTTGTACCATGATTGGAGTATTTATTTGTTGCTCATAATCTTAAGCTAATCACTCATTGAAGGTTCAATTGTTGGACGATAAAGCCGTGAATGATGCTCACAAGTTGTCAAATGATAATAACACCATTATCAGATATCAGATGAAACCATTATCAGATTTCGTCATCAATGAAGCCTCTTTTGTCTATTGGTTATGAATTCCTAGTGGTGGTCGGATAAGTTNGAAAAACTGCGACCCTTCGTCAAATCACAATCCTTGCTGAGTAACGATCGTGATCTAGGAGCAAGAAATGATCCGAGTTCTCACTCCTAACTGAAGCGCCTTTGATCGGTCCTTATCACTGCACTTCATTGTCACTATCCCGTTTTATCGAATGAAACATATCAAAGGGTCAAAGCCAGATCGTAAATACCAGAGGCGCCAGGATTCATTCGATAAATGGCTCTTGGCTCAAATGCTCCTTATCAGCTCTTATCAGTTATTATCGGTTCCTGTCAGAAAGTGCCCATGACCCATAACACCTCACTGATAACACGATGGGCCTGAGGCCTTGAGTTCTTTGCCTTCTGTGGCTCTTTTTTAACCCTAAGCGCTTATGATTAATTCGTGCCACCAATCCCATCCATGGTCCCTTCGCATCCCACACCACTTAGTGAGGTGCCAAACCTCAAATATTAGTATGGCGGATGTTGTGAACCTAGTGGCCTTCGCCATCTATGGCTCGTTACCAGTCCTTGACAATTGTTACCAATTCCTATCACTAAATATCTACTATTCCTACTTAATACACACCACTTACTGAAGTGTAAAGGCTCCTTATCAACCCTATCAATTGTTATCGCTTTATACTGGATTGTCCTAAAAGTCTCCACCAGTTTTTGAGTCATCTTCGACTGGAAATTTCTAAAAGAGCAAACTCATTCTTCAAACAATACATCTTCCATTCTGTTCAGTTGTGGTTCACCATACTCCCGTAGGTTTCATTATACCCGCTTCATAGAAGGTTCGAGACTAACAATCGAAAAACCATCTCATTTGCTTTATGCAGTCTTTTTGGAG